GGTCAGAAAATCACTGAAATACCAGAAGTACCCACCAGAGGGCACAGCTTTGTAAAATAAACCTGGCTACCAAGGGGACTGATTGGTGACCCTTCATGAAGGTCAAATGTTTTCCAGCCTCAGCCAGCCTGTTGCTTGGCAATGAGCTCAGGGACAAAGAAGCAAAGGTGAATGGGGCAGTTAGTCAATAGCCATGGTTCCTGTCAGCTCCAGCGGCCGTGGAAGGGCTTATCTGCTAGGAACACTGGTCATGCCTAACACCTGAACTGTGTTCTATGGGGACCAGCGTGCTGGCTGTGAGGAAACCAATTACATCAGACCCTTGTCCTCCCAAGAATAGATGCAGGGCTGCTTCTCATGTCTGACTCGCCACTGCCAGCACCACCATCTGCAGGCTCCTGGAACACTTCAAACTCAGCTGCTGGGTCTACTCCATGGCCCCTCCAACCCTGAAGTCACTTGAAGAGAAGGTAGCATGAGAAGAGCCTAGACCAGGATTCATGGGTGCCACTATGTTCCAACTACTGTAGGAACTCTGAAAGAACAGAAAGCCCTGGCCTTTGCAAACAACCAGCCAGACCCTGTCTTACAGGAGGCAGGGTGCACTCTGGATCATACCTCTGACTTAATGTTGGCCAGAAAATAGAGGTCTAGAAACCAAGCAGGAAGGTTGGTGGTAGATCTAAAGAGCCACCTCTAGTCTCCACTGATCTTGGGGTACCTGCTGGAGGACCTACCTACCAAGAATACAATATATTTCTTCCCACCTAGAAGCTAAAACACTGCTTGGTTTTTTCACATCTCAGTAAGCCCCAGTAGGAACCGGCCAAAGCGCCTTTACATTAACAGAGGAATATGTGAGTAAGGCTGGGGTGGGATGCAGAGGCTCTGTCCTTGACTCCAGTCTGTGCTCAGTCTGTAAAATGGGGCTGAACTAGCATAGTGCCAGCACTCTGTAAAGATTAGCCGCTGTTACTACTTGAGTGGCTGCTTACTAATCTGACAAAGGCTGCATCCAACATAGGAAAGATCACTAGGAGAAAGGAGGTCTGCATTGTTCCTTAAGGAGAGGCCAGTGCAGCTAAGGCTTACCTGAAGATGAAGGGGTCAGGGACAGGACACGCAAGTGTCTCTTGTCATTAGGCTCCACCAACCTGCCCCTGACAAGTCATGGATATCAGCACTGAGCCCTTTTCCACAGCCGCAGGTCCATCCCTACCCAGGAACCAGGGGTCCGTGGATTGTATCTGCCACTCCTACTTCCATCCAGGACCCTGCAGTGCCCAACCTTGGATTCCTTGCATGGCATTCACAGCCCCCAAGGAAGACCACTGCTATCACTCTGTTGTCACTGTCACCATTGATTTCTATGTGGCAGAACACTTCTCACAGTGTCCAGAACCCATTCCCATCTTTCTGCATGCCCTCTCTCGAGGACATCCAGCCCTGCCTTCTGCTGGCTTTCTCCATCTGGCCCACGTGTCATCCCTGTGACTGAGTTAGGTATCTCAGAGTCAGCGCCACCAGGGTTCTGACTGCCCCCAGTACTCTCTGCTCACCTTCCCAGCATCTTGAAAGCCATAGTAGGCTGCAGCCTAGGCTCCTACAAAGAGACCGGCCCATCACAGGCCCTGCTGAAGGAGCCAGGGTCCTGCCTGCTCTCTCCCTTACAGAGAGAGTGAGGGCCAGCCCAGAAGCATTCCACGTGAACTTCAGAACAGAAACACAAAGAAGACGGAGAGAGGCTTCCTTTGTTAAAAGACGGCAAACTGTTAGGTTTCAAAAATAACTTAAGACGGGATTTCTTTTTTATTCTAAAGCAAGCGCCCAGACATTGCCAAATCTATTTAGGAGAGCCCCAGAGAAGCTTCTCATCCCAACAGTCCAGGGCCCAGCATGAGGTTTCACTTGGGGGAATGTCTGATTGGTGAGGGGGTGCTACTGGCCAAGGTCAAAGACTCTCCTGAAAGAGGAACAAGGCCCTGCAGACCCCACATAGGAGGCCGCACCTCAGCTCAGCTTAGTCTCTGGGACCAGCTCTCAGCCCATCAGGCCCCATCCAGCCACCTGCTTGTAGGGACTCGTTTTAATTAATGCCAGAACTGGGCCAACCACTGGGGCCGTGACACTTGTTTGCAGGTCATCTGCTCCTAACAGGCTCGCCCTGGGAGGGGATTTGTCTCTAATTGAAGGCGAAATCAGTTAATGAGGCTGCAGGGCCTGGGGTTCCAGAGAACAAGGGAGAGGAAAATAAAATCAAGCCCCAGTCTTAGGCAGTTTTGTGATTTATACACACAAAAGAAAAGAAAGCAAGCTGCTGATTTTCCAAGTCAGGAACTCCACTCCATCTGCCTGAGTGAGCCCCTTGCTGTGTGAAGTCGTCAGGCAGAGGGACATGCCACCGCTAAGGCTCAGGCTCCTGGAGAGGAGAGGAGGGGCCTCTCAAAGCCAGTGATCAATCAGCAGCCTAATTAATGGGTATTTATGGCACAGGGCTCTATGGTTCCCTCTGTGGGGTACAAGACGGATGCCTGTCCCTAGCTAACTTGTAATCCAGCTGGGGACAATGAGAGGATGGGGACAGGGTATGACTGACTGTGGGAAGAACAAGAGGTTTCTGGGACTTAGATCAAGGAAAATCTCCTGGGGGGTTCTGGGACCAAGCAAAGGGGCTGAGGTGGAGGGTGTCCCACACTCTGCAAGCTCAGTCCACTGTGAAAGCCAAGTCCCAGGTAAATTTGCTGGGTTATGCGTTCCTCCACTAGCCAATCTGAGGGCAGTACAGGCCTGGCAAGTGTAGGAATGGAATGAACGGGACCCCACCACCAGTAGGATCCTAAGGGCTGGGACTCAAGAGAGGCCAGAACGTTCATAAGTAGAATTCCTGAGCCCCAGGCAAGGGGAAGGCACCAGAGCAATGACCTCTTCATTCAAGCCCTTCCCTGTGTGCCCCCCACTCTCCTCCCAGATCCTTCTACTTCATCAGAAGATCTCCGGGAAGGGAAAGGCTGTAGAAGCAGCTGGGTCAGGGAGGCCGAGAACTCCTCTTAACCTCACAGAGTGAGGGGGTGGTGAATGAGCCCTCTCCCTTCTCAGGAGAGGCCTGGGCCCAGCAGAGTCAGGAAGCCTTACTTTTTCTGACTCCCAAACTAAGTTCCATTCAGGGTTGCAGGGCCACTGGGCAGATTTGCAGTTTTTATGGCTTCTAACTGGCAGCAAGGCATAAGATTCAAGGAAAGAACGAGATCCCGGGCACAAAAAGGGATGCCCCACTTAACAGTCACTTGGAGATGGCTTGGTCTGCGTGGGAGTAAAACAAAAGAGGCCACTTGAGGACAGCCCTAAAGCTCTACTTTACAAGAACAGCAATAGCAATGACTGTGTAGGATGAATGGTTTGTCACACAGTGTGTACAATTATGCTTAGTGACAGAAGAGACGAGGAAAGAGGGTTTATCAAAAGATTAGTATGTGTGAATTCTTTCTTCTTGTTGATTTGCATTTTCTCTCTTTTTAAAATTAAAAGCAACTGCCTTTATGTGTGTGTCGTCTGCATGTATGTGTACCACGCATGTGCAACATCTGCAGAAGCTGGAAGAGGATGTAAGATCCCCCAGGACTGGAGTTACAGATGGTTATGAGGGTGCTGGGAATCAAACCGAGGTCCTCTGGAAGAGCAGCTTGTGTTCTTAACTGTCCAGCCATTTTTGTTGTCAAGACAGAGTCCCATGGAGCCCAGGCTGACCTCAGACTCACTATGTACCTGGGGATGACTTCGAGTTTTGGACGGTACGGGCATGGACCACCATGACCTGTTTTACGTGGTGCTAGGGATCGAAAGCAAAGCTCTATGCATGCTAGGCAGGCACTCTACCTGCTGAGCTGCAGTCCCAGCCATGATTTCCACTTCTGTTCTCTTTTAGCAGTTAATGCATTTGCTGTGTTATTAGTGACAGAGGTGACAGCTGTGAAAGGCACTTTATCCTCTGGAGTTGGTTACAAAAGTCACTCCAATGGGGATCCAGGAAGGGGCATATAGACAGGGGTAGGAACAAGGATGGACAATGTCTCAGAGGCTCGATTCCTCTCTGGCTGTGGTCCATGCCACTCTCTTGCCTGCTTGCTGCCCCCACAATCCCAATCTCACTCAGTCAATTTCCAAATTACTGTAATAAACTCTAGCTTTATTCGTACAGGTCTGAGGAAGCTCAACCTGTGCCTGACTTGAAAAGCTTTATAAGCCTTCCAAGGCCGGGCGTTGGTAGCACACACCTTTAATCCCAGCACTCTGGAGGCAGAGGCAGGCAGATCTCTCTGAGTTCGAGGCCAGCCTGGTCTACAGAGCAAGTACCAGGATAGGCTCTAAAGCTACACAGAGAAATCCTGTCTCTAAAAACCAAAAAATAAACAAATAAATAAATAAAGTAAAATAAAATAAAATAAAAAATAAACCTTCCAAGGAGGCTGGGCGAGTGACTCACCAACCAAGCCTGAAGAGATTGCATAGGGACAGTTCTGCCCCTCTATACCAGTTCCACTGAAAGACAACAGCCTTCTCTAAGTGACAAGTAAAGACCAAGAAAAAGACACACACCCTTTCTTTACTCATGGAGCCTCAAGCTTCACACAGTTTCTGTCCAGGGACCCCTAGCTCAGTTAGGAAGAGGGAATTCAGGAGTGTGGGTCCAGGAAGTTTAGAAGCAGGGAGCTGGGACTGTAGACAGCCATAGACTGTGCCCCAGAGGCTGCTCTGAGGAAAACATTGCACTGGGGAGACAAATAGCAGAGCCATTCTAAAGAGAGTTCTGGGTGCAGGGATAGAGAGATGGCTGCCCTTCCTACCCTGAACTCTGTGTCTCCATCCTTCCCAATGCCCCAGAGTGCCAATGTGAGTTCTTCCTATCAGAGCCTCTTCTCTGAAAAACGGCTGGACATCCCCTCGCAGGCCCCATTTCCCACACCGTGGCATCAGCCCTTGGGAGCTGGGTACGAGTTACTCACAGCAATGGAGACAGCACTGATGACGGCTCCCAGGTAGCCCTGGATGAACTTGGATGCAGGTGAAGGCTGGAAGACAGGCAGAAAGGTAGACACACTGAGTATCCAAAGCTCAGTGGTCTGCCCTGACCCTCAAGAAGCACTCCCTCGGGAAGCCAAAGGAGCCCAGACCTCCCTCAGCAACCTTCAAAGCAGAACACACAAAGCAGGTGCAGGTATCACTTCTGCCCTGTTCTAGAAAGATCTGGGCAGATATTGCTGGCTGAAGGTGGGAAACAGCAGGGACCCGCACAGGTCTTTCATGCCCAGGCTGTTCAGGGTCCCAGGCTGTGTTGTGAGCAGGTGTTTAGGCCTGGCACAGTGTCTGTGTGAGATAGCAGTGTCTCACCAGCTCCAGTCTAGCTGGCTGTCACAGCCCCCTTAGCCCAGTCAGGGGCTTCACTGTCAATACTGCTGCCCAGGAGTTCCACAGAACAAAAGATCTGAAGTCCCAACATAGGAAAGAATTAAAGGAAGGCTGAAGAACCTGTCTTTGCTACAACTGCAGTTTGGAGATAGCTGGTTTAAGGTTATCTAGGAAGCGGCCAAGTGGAGCCATATAGGAGAAACCGCAAGGGAGACGGGCATGCAGGGCTAGATGAGGCGGTGTCCCTAACGTCCCCAGCCCCTCAAGTTCCCACTGCAAAGGCCAGCTTCTAACACTGCTCTCTTTGCCACTGCCAGAAAATATTAATAACAGCCCCTCAGAGGAGACCTAGATTCCTCTGGATCCAAGGACGGCCCAAAAGGAAAGATGACCTTATGAGAGATCAGCTGTGCCATCAGCAACCTAGGAGCTGGGGACACTGAACTGGCTTCTAGGCGAGTTCAGGAGCTTAGGGCAGTTCAGTCCTCAGGACGCTGACACCTGGATCCAGTATCGGAGTGCACACACTTCTCCAGAAAAACTCAGAAGCCAGCAGAACTCACAGCCTACAGACCTCCCTTATTTTACCCACCTCACGCAGGCAGGGTTCTTCTCAGAGGTTCCTGCTGACCCATGGCAAGCTGAATGCCGCTTGCTTGTGGGCCTGGCAGCAGAAACAGGCACTCAAATGGGGCAGTGCTTGTCACCAGTGATGGTGGCCTGTCACACTGTAGAGAGAATAACCAGGTCACTTCCACCTGAGCCTGCCATGGGCAGGGAAGGCAGCAACACTCACCTTGGTAGCATTGCGGTTTGCATAGTTGACACAGGCGTTATGGCTCTGGTTCAGCCACTGAAGGCAACAGGGAGAGAAGTACGGTCACCTCTGTTGAAGACCCCACCTCTATTCCTACCAGAAATCATGGGAAACTGTCTCTACGTGTATATAGAGATGGGGACACTGAGGTGACATCTAGATGAGCATGGAAGCTTGAGGTGGGGGTACAGTCCTCAAGATGCTGCTATCATTTGCATCCAAGATCTGATGCACAAACTGTCCCAGAAGAATCCAGACTCCTACAGAGTCTCCATTATTGATCCCTCTTTACCTGCCAGAGGCTCTGTCAGAAGCACCAGGGGTTTCTTGTTGGTTAGCATGGCACAGACATCAGAAAGAGGCTACGGGCCTCTGGTCACTGACCATAGGTCAAGCAACCAATGGACAGAATGAGTTGCTACTATTATGCCATCATGTTCCAGGTGAGGGTATCTGACTCCCTCATCACCTTCATCCGAAAGTTAAAGTGACACAAAATGGCTGACATCACACTCAGGTTAGGGATAAGGGCAGAAGGATAGGAGCACTTGACTAAGGGGCCTGGAGGAAGCAGGAGACAATGGGGAAGTCTCACACCAGTGTGTGTGTGTGTGTGTGTGTGTGTGTGTGTGTGTGTGTGTGTGTGTGTGTGTGTGTGTACCTGCCTTCAGAAACCCTCTCCACAGATCCTTACCTGCCAGAAGACAGTGGATGCCAGCGTCTGGTTGGGCAAGAGAAGACCCACCACCTAGAAAAGTGAGAGGGTTAGGTTGAGGATGGCAACAAAGATGTCCAATGTTTTTAGGGCTTTTTGTTTGTTTTGATTTTTTGAGACAAGTCTCACTATATCCAGGCTGAGCAGCAATGTACTAGGTAGCCCAGGCTAGCTTTGAAATTATAGCAATCCTCCTGCTGCAGCCTTTTGAGAGCTGGAATTACAAGTGTGTACCATCATGCCAGGTTCACCCCATGAGTTTGCAAAGCAAAAGTATACAGCTATGGACAAGAGGGAATTAGAGCTATATGGTCTGGTATACAGGTGCACAGTGATGCTCACGGTGAGAATGAATGCAATAAAAAAAAAACAAAGAATTACATTACTGTGTAATCCTGTTTATATGAAAGAAAAATATAGCTGTCTACCCAACACATACATTCTCTCTCTGTGTCTCTCTGTGTCTCTGTCTCTCTCTGTCTCTCTGTCTCTCTCTGTCTCTCTCTCTCTCTCTCTCACACACACACACACACACACACACACACACACACACACACACACACACACACACACAAAGCATCTGTAGGTTGCAAAATTAGCTGTGGATGCCCATGGAAGTCATTCCAGACCATCTTCTCATAGTCTTCTGCCCCCCCCCTTTTTTGTATTTAAAGACAGGGTTTCTCTGTGTAGCTTTGAAACCTGTCTTGGAATTCACTCTATAGACTAGGCTGGCCTAGAACTCACAGAGATCCTCCTGCCTCTGCCTCCCCAGTGCTGGGATTAAAGGCATTCGTCATCACCTCCCGGCCTCTGCCTTTTTCTTAACAGTGTATTTTATTTATTTCCATAATTGGAGGGAACAATAAAAACAAGTGAGCAAACAAAAGGAACCCCACCCCTTCCCCTCAAGTAGACTGAACCCTTCTCCTGTAGGATTTTTATGAGAATTAAATAATCTCAAAGTCCTTCAAGGGATTCATACATAGACTTTGGGAAAATTTATCACCACTAAGAGAAAACTAGCACTATGGTAAACCTAATGACTAGGCCACAGGAGTTTACTAAGCAGTGGTTTCCATGGGAGCTGACTGTCCCCCCAGGGGTCATGTGCTAAAGGCTTAGTCCAAGAGGGCACTACAGAGCTCAACCCTGAGTTGTTAGCGGAAGGAAGTACGTCACCGAGACGGTGCCTTTGAAGGCATTTCCCCTCGTGCATGCTCTCAGCCTCCTGTCCACCATGTGCTCAGCTGCTTTGCTCAACCATGGGTGTGTTCCCTGCCACAGAGCTCTGCCTCATCACAGGCCTAGAAGCAACAGAACCAAGTGACCCTGAACTGAAACCTCTGAAACCATGAGCCAAATTAAACCCTCTTCTCCTTTATGTTGCGTTTTGTTACAACAGCGGGAAGCTAACATATTGAGTGAATGAATGCACAAGCAAGCGGTTATAGACTCATTACACCTCAAACCCAAATAGCACCTGGAATCTATTTGCTGGCTGCCTTTAAAATATATACTTTATTATTTATTTATGTGTGTGTTTCTGTCTCTGTGTGTGTTTCTGTCCATGGGGGCCGAAAGAGAGTATTAGATACCCTGGAGCTGATATTATAGGCAGCTGTGGGTGCTGGTAATTGAACTCCAGTCCTCAGGAAGAGAAACAAGCACTCTAAACCACTAAGCCAGTGGTTCTCAACCTTCCTAATGCTGTGACCCTTTAATACAGTTTTTCATGTTGTAGTGACTCCCAACCACAAAATTATTTCATTGCTACTTCATAACCATAATTTTGCTATGGTTACATTGTGAATCATAATGTAAAATCTTATATACAGGATATGTGATATGCAACCCCTACAAATGGGCTGTTTGACCTCCCAAAGGCTGGGACTGATGGAAACAGAGCCATGCTGGGTGATGAGGACTGAACCCAGGGTTTTGTACATGCTAGGCAAGCACTGAGCTACATCTCCAGCTGTGTGTGTGTGTGTGTGTGTGTATCTGTGTCTGTGTGTGTATACACAAACACCAAGACTCGTGCATTTGGCGGTCAGAGGACAACTTTCAGGAGTCAATTCTCACTTTCCATGTTGTTTTGAGGTGAGGTCTCTTGTCTGTCCCTGAACTGCATGCTCCATGCAAGCTAGCCCATGAGCTCTGGGCAATTCTCCTAACACCACTTCCTATCACACTACAGAAATGGTTAGATTATAGATTCACACTGCTGCCTCCCGCTTTTCACATGGGATCCGTGGATCCAGATTCAAGGACATGAACACAGGTCATCACAGCAAGTGCTTTACCCACTGAGTCATCCCTGGCCCCTTAGCTCTTTTTTTTTCTTTGAGACAGGGTCTAATATAGCTCAGGCTGGCTATGTAGTTGATCTTGAACTCCTGATCCTCCTGCCTCACACATGCTGGGTTTACAGGCGTGCACCACCATGCCTGACTGATCTTGACACAGGCTGCACTTTGGACAACAAGGACTTGTGTGAGTCTTTAAGTTTACCTTTGGCGCGTTTGTGTGCAAAGCAGCATCTACCAAGTACGGCTGCATATGGGGAAAATGTGCACAGCCATCCACATATTGACTTATTTATTATTCCTGTAGATAAAATGGCTCTTTGGCAAGAATTTCTGCAAGGAACAAGTATAAACATTCAATACTATGCAGTAAATCAAATTCTAGACATCCTTAGCAGCATTAGTAAATCATGTTTTAAACATTAAAATGTTTTAAAACAGAGAACACACACGCACATTTATATTTATTGGCCCATATCAGCTTGAATAAAATTATATAATGTGAAGTCATTCCACAGCTCCTACTGGAGCTACACAGAGTCATTTTCTTCCAGGGTGAAATCTCTACTTGACTCTTTTGTGCAGTGGCCACGTAGGGCAACGGACTGAAATCCAGGCAGGAGACCGTGAGGCCTCAGCGGCAGCTCTAGCCCTGTAATCTCAGATTCATGATTCCTTCTGGAGCTGTCTATCCTAAATCAGTTCCATATACACTCCACCCCAGTGCTGTGTTGTGTGCGTTTGGGATATGTGCTTGTGTGTACAATCATGTGGAGGCCTGAGGGAGATGTAGAATGTGTTCCTCAATCACTCTCCACCTGTGTTCATTATTTATATTTAATGCACGTATATGGGTGTTTTGCCTGCATGCATGCCTGTGTATCATTTATATAGATTGCCTAAGGATGCCAGATAAAGGTGTTGGATTTCCTGGGACTGGAGTTAGAGATGGTTGTGAGTTGCCATGTGCTGGGAACCTAACCCAAATCCTCTGCAGGAGTAGCCAGTGTAATTAACCACTGATCCATCTCTCCCTAGCCTTACCACCTTTATGCTTTGAGACAGGCTCTCACCAAAACTGAAGCTCTGGCTGGCCAATAAGCTCTAGGGATCTACCTGTCTCCACACCCCTCCTCTACCATGCTAAGTTGCTGGCACACACTACTGTGCCTGGATTTTTCCATGGGTCCTAGGGATCCAAACTCAGGTCCTCACGCTTGTATAGTAGGCATCTGTCAGGTTTATCCATCTACACCCTTCTCCCAGCTCAGTTTAAAAGTCTGCTCTTGGGTTCCAGTTGTCTAGAGAGCTAACCCCATTGTCTGTGAAGCATTATCTTCCAAGGGATTCAGGTTTTTTGTTTTGGTTTGGTTTTTCTTTTTCTTCTTCTTCCTTGGGTCTCTAGTCAGAGCAAAGAGAAACTGAACCTAGAGTGACGAAGGAAAGGGTGGGGGTGTCACATATTTACACACAAGCACATGAATGCCAGCCCTTAAACTGGGGCAATTCATATGTCCACTGATGAGTGTTCAGGTACCCCACCATCTGTGGTTTATACATCATCATACTGCAGACTATGCAAAACAGCCCTCACCCCCAAATCCCAACTTTCTGAATGGTGCTTAAGGCACCAGGAACATCCTCAGACACCATGACCTGGGATTCTGTGTATCACCAAGGCACCTGATGCCCAGGATGATCACTGCGTTTTGAGTCAAGGGGTCCCTTCACCGACTTACATCAGAGATACTTTCTGGTTTCTGAATCAGAGGTTGAATGGCCAAGCAACTGGTTTGCATCTATCTTGCAGTCCCTGGGCCATTTACCTGTGTCTGACCATTAAGAAGCCTAGTCCAGGGTCAGCAAGATGACTTAGGGGGTAAAATGTTGGCCATGCAACCCTGACAACTTGAGTTCTATCCTGCGAACTACTTACACTTTAACACCCCAAAGTTGTTCTCTGATCTCCAGATATAAATGTGTTATTATACACACACTCAATAATAATAATAATAATTAATAAGTAAATAAATAAAAAGAAGCTCAGGCCAGCTTTCTCTATCCACAGCTCTCTCGTGGATACAGACCCACACTGCTCATTTTCTGTACTCAATCCAGCCTCATGGTCTTCCCTTCTCTAACGTTTTTTTGGGTGTCATTTCTATCTTTACTCATTTTATTCTATAGTATGCATTTAAAAGACTGATATACAATCTTTTCTAGAATAATTCAGAGCCCTAAATAAACTTGTACTAGGCTACGTCAGACACACCCCCATTGCACATGACTATGACGAGCAAGCGTTTGCACTGAAAGCCCTTGCTGCCTGCCATAACACAAACCTGGTGTCCACGCCAGTGCCTCAAACCACCGAAACTTCTCCATGCTTTTGCTTAAAGAGATCACCTTGTTGGCTGATGTTGTATCGCTCGCCATAATCTTATAATAAGGAGGACCCTATAAAATAGGGGCAGCCTTCCATATTTTGCAGAGACCTTGGGAAGTGCAGGGATCTTCCTAAGTCTTTACAGCAAATTCAAGAGTCAGGGTCTCTTAATCCCCAACTTAGCATTCTGGTTCTGATTTTAGAGTACACCTCCAGCTTGTCTCCATGAGCACAAAGGAAAAGGGGGTTCAGTTACTACTGTAGCCTGTTGTTGGAGTATAGTATATGTAGTGTACCCTGAGGCTTCTGGCAACAGCAGGGGTGGGGAGCGGGGAGCT